ATAAAACGGTACAAAAGGCCAACTTTTATTTTTATTGTCTATTCTATTGTGGAGGTTTAGAATTGAAATCCCGGTTTGAATTTTCAAACCTTAAAGCTGCCTATTCTTATGGAAAACCTGCAGGTTTAAAATTACAAACATGTTCCAAAACTTCTTATAAGAGATGCTCTAAATTTGATCTTCAATATAGACCACGGACTCACATAATAAATATTATTTATATTTCCAATTCAAGTTTCTTCATTTCGAATTGAAGTGATAATGAAGTCCATTCATCTACACCAACCTGCATTAGTATTGGCATTGTCTATTTGATTTGTCACATAGGTACCATATAAGAAACAATGGCCAATTGCATTAAAGATGTTAAGAGTCAGCTATGAAAAACCACTTATGTTGTGTCATTGATTAATATGGATCTTTAATTAGACAACTCCAGATTAATACAAGTAATTATAAAAATATAATAGAGTTTTTTAGTGTTTTAAACTTGTTTTTATTATAATGAGATCAATTTATATTTGATGTAATGCTATGTTTTTATGGTTTGGTTATAATTTTGTCATTTCAATTGTTTAGTTATCATAAGCATTTGGTCTGACCTTATTTAAATATCTAGATCCATTCTATTTGAGACAACACATGCCCAATTCTTCTAGAAGAGTGCATGAAAGGTTGAAACTGTATTTATATTAACATTTTCTAACTCGTGTCCAAACCCACCCACTACCATAGCATGCGAGAAATGCATCTTTACAAAGAAACATTAATTTTTTTTTAAAGAAACAAAAAGGAAAGGGGAAAGTCCACTTTTGGTCCTCCATGTTTAGGGGTATCCAGATTGAGTCCCTATTATGTTTTGGTGCCCAATTTTAGTCCTTAAAACAAAAAAAATGTAGTCCCTATAATATCCACTTTTAGTCCTCCATGTTTAGGGGTATCCAGACTTAATCCCTATTATGTTTTGATGCCCAATTTTAGTCCTTAAAACAAAAAAATGTAGTCCCTTTACCTCAATTTATGTAAATTAACAATCTATTTTTGCTCGACCGTTATGTTCTTCATTTTTTTAAAATTTGTTAACTAATGTCAACTTTGACCAAAGAAAAATAAAAGAAAATTTAAATGCTGAAAAAAGGTAAAATAAAAGGCAGAAATGGTGAACTGCGGTGAAACGTAGAAAAAAAAAACCTGACCGCCTAGAGACTAAATCCGATCAAATGGATGGAAATGGTGTGGTATTTTGTAGATGTGAGCTGGTTGCAAAGTTGACTACATGCTGGAAGGATGATAATCCCGAGAGAAGGTTCTTGAGTTGCCATCTATATCCTGTAAGTACTTTCTGTGAACTTCAATTGGAATATGATAAGAAATGGTTAAAAAACAGAGGGTTGATAGGTGCAATTTTTTTCGATGGCATGACCCGGAAATGGGTGCAAGAGCAGTAGCTGTGATTCCAGGCTTGCTCCGCAGCGCGAATGCTAGGGAAATAGAAATCAGACGAGCAAAAATTTTAATTTAATTTGGTGCAATTTCTTGTTTTAGTTTAATTTTTGATTAATATATTTTCAGCATATAAATTTTCTTTTATTTTTCTTTGGTCAAAGTTGACATTAATCAACAAATTTTAAAAAAATAAAGAACATCACAGTCGAGCAAAAATGGACCATTAATTCACAGAAATTGAGGTAAATGGACTACATTTTTTTGTTTTATGGACTAAAATTGGGCATCAAAACATAATAGGGATTAAGTCTGGATACCCCTAAACATGGAGGACTAAAAGTGGATTTTTCCCTATTATAGGGACTACATGTTTTTGTTTTAAGGACTAAAAGTGGACACCAAAACATAATAAAGACTCATTTTTTTGTTTTAAGGACTAAAATTGAGCACCAAAACATAATAGGGACTCAGTCTGAATACCCCCTAAACATGGAAGACCAAAAGTGGACTTTACCACTATTATTTGGTTTGGCTTTCCATCTCAAATGCAACCCAAGGCTTAGAATTGAAGGAAAGCAAACAACGGTGAAGTTTAACCACTTACTATAAAAGATTTAAGAATATATATATATATATATATATATATATAGGGGTTGGTTCAAATAAAAACTAGTGCTAGTGTGAGAACCGTGAGAATCATATTTGGTATTATTTTTAATTGTGTATGATGCTATTTTTAATCTAACATGGTGTTATCATGTTTACAAATGCTAACATAAATTGTGTTGCTATTTTTAATAAAATACATCCTGATTAAAAATAGCACAAAAATACAATCAATCATAGCACTACATCTAATTATAAATAGCGGTTCTCACGGTTCTCACGCTAGGACTTAGTTCTCATTTGAACCAAATCCTATATATATATATATATATATATAGGGAGTGGTTCAAATAAAAGCCTTTTCTGGTGTGAGAACCGTGAGAACCACATTTGATGCTATTTTTAATTGTGTATGATGCTATTTTTAATCTTACATGGTGCTATCATTTTTACAAATGCTAAGTTGCTATTTTTAATAAAATACATCCGGATTAAAAATAGCACTAAATACAATTAAAAATAGCGGTTCTCACGCTAGGACTTGGTTCTCATTTGAACCACATCCTATATATATATATATATATAT